AAAATCGTGATAAAAATTAAAATTCAGCGTCACCAAATTGTAAGTAGAAGACAATGGAAACAAAACCAATGAGTTAACTAGGACAAATATGCAGAATCATGAGCGCTAGAGGTATTCCAAGTAGGGCATCAGGCCCAAAGTCAAAGAGACAAGATAGGAAAAATGCGTAGACCAAATGATAGAGGGTAAACCATTGCAAAAAAGGCATAGACGACATACAAAAGGTATCTTTATGATGAGAGGTAACGCCGTCAAGTTCTGAAATGCCATGCATGGGTAAATAGAACCTCGCCAAAAGGGTGGGGAAGACACTGGAAATGGGTGACAAATATGACGCTATGCAGGCCAGAATGCATTATTTGGTAGTGGTAATTCCATCCATTCATATCAGGGCGTGGTGTGGCACCAATGACGATGATAAACCCACGCTGCTTTTTGACAATCTTTGCTGCAATATTTGGTGCGGCGGCAACGGCGGCACTTTGCGAATTGACGCTGAAACTCCTCCCACTTTCCGCACTTGTAGTATGCACATTGCCTGATACCTCCTCTAGATTCGTCCTTACGACAAAGGTTCCGCATGACAACGCAAGCCCAGTATTGCATATCTTTTGAGTGGTGACGGACGGTGAATTTCTCAACCAGAGGGAAGATGTTGACATCATCAGGGAGCAGATACTCGTCCTCTTCTTCAGGAAGGTCAATTGGCGATGTTCCTTCCTCTAGCATTTGAAGTTCACGATCAATCTTGAGTTTCGGGACGAAATGAGAATGCTGAAAGTAGGACCGGAGGTTGCAGTACTTGGAGACATAAGCCAAAAGTTGGAGAGACATGAGAACGTCCTCGTCCCTAGGCATAGTTGTCAAAACACCATGAGCGGCTGTGGTTGTTCGATCGCGAAAGTATAGTGAGTAAGGGCTAGGGACAAGAGCGGGGGAATTGGCGTTATCAGCTGCCTGGGTAGGGGATAACCCCAGAGCGGCGTTATTTTGGGCGTTGTCGGTATTGATCATGCTGCCGTCCACTGTGGAACGGTGTGTAATGTTGAAGGTCTCGGCTTCCTGCTCTTCGGAAGGATCTGTTACTGTAAGATCGTGAGAATCGGAAACGCCGCCTAGTATCGTGTCTCTCTCGCCGACGTCATCGATGTCCATTCTGTTTTGCAGTCCAACGATAGGCTCAGCTGCCTCTGTGGAAGCAGGATCCTCATCCATCGTAGAACCGTCTCCGTTTCCATCATCGGATTCGCCCGATGCCGACTGCTGCTGTCTCAACGACGGACGTTGCCTCGCAATTGTAGCCTGTGCGCTGCTTCTAGGCTGTACAGGAGCATTGGGGGTAGTCGGAGAATCTGGCTGAGAAGTGAGTCCGGTGTGGAAGCCAGGAAGCATGCTCGGTAACCGCTCATTATCACGCACGGGCCGCAGACCGAAGCCATCAGCAGCATCCATCGAAGGCAATGCTGTGGCCAAAGGCTGCATTCTGTGTCGGTGGTTGCCATGCGCAAAGCGGCCCTCGTTTGTTCTATGGTGGTGTACGTCTTGTCCGAAAGTGCTTCTCTCAGGGGGGGAGGTCATCGGCACTCGGGGCGGAGAGGCAACATCCAGCACGTTCGAATCAGCGACATGGTTTTCCTGGAAGAAAGGTTGGGGTGGAATTTCGATACTGGGAGGGGGGGCGTGGCGACGAGAGGTACGTTGTTCAGCTGTCGATGACTGTTCCAGAAAGGACGAACGTCCAGATGCATCATTTGATGTTGGCACAGCTTTTGAATGATGTCTGGACGACTGTCTTTGAGACTCGGAATCGGCTCGGGCTCGTGCCTTGTCGACAACCTTGATATAGTTATCCAGGATCGTTGCAATTACCGGCACCATATCGGCCTCGACAACCCTTGTTCTCACACTTTCTGAACCTCTCACTCCGATATTCACAACACATTGAAAGGCCAGACTCCACTTCCACATCTCCATGAGGTCCCTGCTCCGGCCTTCTTTGAGGATGCACACGAGTCTTTCAATGCCGCCATCGACGGTGAGAATATCGCGAATACGGGCAGAGGATGTAGTGAGATATGCAAGATGATTGAGAGAGTTTATGAGGGGTAGTGTTGATGTGCAATCGAGGGCCCGCCGGTCATATAGGGTTGTCGTAATATTGACAGAGGCCTTGTTAACATTGGGAATGCTGAAGTTCACCTCCCGCATGATGGACAGGAGTTCGCAGGATCCGAGATGATAGAAAGAGCAGTCGTTCGAAAATGGGAAACTTGCGTGACTCGATGGAAGGTCGGCGTACGCTCTCAACCCCTAATGCGGACGAAAGCGTACTTGGGATGAAGGTGGTCGGAGGAGAAAGAAAAGGACCGAGAGGCTTGTCGTCTTTGTGACAAAATCATGCGGTAAATAGGAGAATGCAAATATGAACCAAATAGCCTTAAGAGGCCCGTTGATGGACGGGAGATGAGGAAGCTGAAAAGTGATGGAGAAGAGGACAGTGAAAGGAGTTTTGATCGAGCCAAGACCAGTCCTTTCAGTCAGAGCCTGATGGTGGTGGCCGCGGCCAGCCACGAGATGGATAGTTTAGATGAGATCGCAAAAACAAGAGTCAGGGGTGAAAGAAAGACCAGAATCAAATATAAGATGTCAACGAAAAGCGACCAATATGTAAAACCAAAATAATAACAGAAATGAAAGTCCAAGAGCTGGAGGATTTGAAGTCTGGCGGAGGATTTGATTATGTGTCGGAGAGGGGGGCAAAATCAAGAAGAGGAGAAAGTGAGTGAGAGAGCGAACGAGCCAGGGAGCGTCTGACTATGAAGCCGAGTCGGGCCAGAGAGCCTAAGCGGAGACAGGGACCGAGAAGGGGATTTTGTTTCATGAATAGCCAGCAACCCCCAAGGTACTACCTATAAACTATCTGTCTACTCTTTACGCCCTCAAGTTGTTGATAGAAGACTCTTCATTTGCATGCTGATGATCTTAGGTACGCTGACTAGTGATTTCTGTCTCTTTCCTCCACCTGCGATCGAGTCGGCATGTACGGCGGACTATAACTACGATGCGGACCTTTGGAGTTCTTTACTGTTTGCCACATGTATTACCTATTGCCACTACCTCCACATACGGTAATAGGTACTCATATACTAAAAATACTAAAGTATTGATATCGAATCATCATCTACCTAGTAGGAATACGACGCCGTAGTATCGGTATCGAATCATCATCTAGCAGGGGTATCCGAAGATGGACTGGAAAATTGAATGGAGATGGATTCATACTTCATTCAGTACCACGAAGTCAAGAAGGCCGAGGTGGAGAAGGACCTCGACGGCCATATGAGGTAGGTGGACAATGCTGTTATGAGGCATGCCTGCTTTGGGGTCTATGAGGAGCACGTCCAGCGTTATCCCAAGATCTTTCGGTTGGAAAGTACTACCCTGCACGACTGACCCGCGAACAGTTCCAATGACACCCTGCTTGATGCTACTGGACGATAGACTGACCTCCGGAGGAACCCCAACGGAGCTATGCCACATCCCTTCTCGTTCAGGATGATCTGGTCCTGGTGATCGAAAATGAAGACAGCCCTATCGAGCGCAGGACCGTCCACCATACTAAGGAACTAGATGGCCAATATCATCTCGACGGAACAGCTGTCTGTCGGCCCGGGTTTGGCGGTTCCGGGTGAAATTCAGCGTGTCGCTGGACACGCTGCATTTCGAGGCTGGCGTGTGCCTCACTACGCCGCAAAGTTGCAAAAGTCCATGAACCGGTTTCTCAAGGCATTGACACCCGAGCGGCCCGAAATAACGTGAGCCATGCTGATCACCTCTGCAAGCGTACCGTGACTGACCAGATCTTCCGCAGTTCTTCATTCAGCTCGATTATGCCTCCACTAGTCTCACCGAAGGGGGATCAGAACGGTACTGACGTTGCTTGTGCATACTGTCAACCTACCATGTGATGGAGCATGCGAAAACTAACAGCATGGGTTCAGCATGGGCTACGGCAAAGCCGAGGGTTGACAGTCGACGAGATCCATCTTCGATCTGAGCGACAGACCTCACGACATCTACCCCGTTCGAGGGCCACTTTACGATCCGCACCTATTTCGAGCCGATCCGCAGGATCGTGAAAGATCCTTTTCATCTCACGACGGTTGGCCTCTGTGATTCGAAACTGCGATGAGACCGCGTCGGTATACAAGGGAAGGCCGCTTGGGAAAATCCTGTTTCCTTACTTGGATGAGCAGGATCGGCTGCAGAAGGATATGTGTGGTAAGCAAGTGGATGGCAATTCCCGTCCTCATTTCTTATTTAGATGTAACAACGAAGGTTCTGCGTCCCTTTGGATTGACTTATCGTTGCTTTCAAATATCTCCGATACTAGGGTTGATCTATAGTGTACCTAGGCGGGAGAATATACACCTAACTAACGGCTTGGTACATATTCACAGTGGCAGTTTGTATGGCTGGAACACTCCTAGCTAGGGAGTAGGCTCGACCTAGTAGTAGCTGCTGGATGTAATATTTGTTACGGAGCAAATAACAAAAAAATATTGGGGTGAGCCGGGATCGAACCAGCGACCTTACGATTAGGTGACTGAGTAACTTCAGTCGTACGCTCTCCCAACTGAGCTATCACCCCATTTAATAGGCTACCTCTAGATTTTTGCAATTAGGAGCCAGAATAAATATACTGACTTACTCTAGTAACTTCATAACTACCAAGTCAAGTTGTTATTGATTTGTGCTCAAGGGGATAGTCTGATTTTATTATACACCGAACTATCCCATGTCCTATGGTCCGAAAAGTGGCAAGAAATATTATCAGACTACAGAGTGAAGAATGTAGCAAGATATGAAGCAATAATATCGTTATCCTTTGGCTAACAGCAAGCCAGGATTTAACCAGGTGCCGCACTTTTTCACTATGGAATCTCCAGGGTTCCTAATACCCTCGTTAAACCTCTATGTCCAATCACATTTTTTCGGGCTTAGGATTCACTCACAATATCAGTATTTTCCTCGGCATTTCCGACAGGGGGTTCCTGTGCTTCTTTCTCCTGATCCTTCTTTAGCTCCTGTAAGATCTGTCGAATTTGTCGCCTCTGTTCCTTCCTTTTGCTTTCTAGACGTGATTGTCGCTCTTCTTCTTCTTGTTCCTTCATTTGAATCGCTGCTCTCGTCTCTTCTCTTGCAGGCTCCGTTAGATTCTCACGGACGTCCCGCTGCTCTTTTGTAAGACGGGGATCCTTGTTGTGCGGATACTGCTCGTAGAAGTTGTCTTTGATAGGCAGGCCAGCCAACCTTGCAGCCAGACTCAATGCTGCATCCTGAGCCTTTGCTTGGATGGTTCTGTCAGGGACACCGTTCGTTGTAGTAACTGGTCTGGGCCGGAAAAACCACTGAGGGTTGGTGCACCCAAAACACGAAGTATTTTAATGTTTTCCCATCTTCTCCTAGGTCCAGATGGAGTTTGACATCCTTATACTTCCCTCATGGGGGGAATCGAATCAGCCGACGTTGCTGTCTACTTTCCTCCACACAACCTCGCCCCAACATATCTCGATGATGGCAGACATGTTTGACGCAGATCGCGAACGAAATCATCGTGGGGCTTTTGGACGTCATCTATCCAGGGGTGAAGATAAATCAGTGTCTCCTCTCTGCGGCAAATCTGGTCAAACATGAATGAATTCTGGGACGAGAATCCGTTCTTGTGTAGTAGATAAATAGTTGGATTGCTTGCGTGTTCGGTCTCATTACTGCATGGGTCCGTGACATAGAATGTTGGATTACGGAGAATGGTGCGCTATGGGGGCAGCGATGGATCCACTAGGGCGTAGGAGAAAGTAAGCTGGTCGCTCAGTTCCACGCTGCCTCCAAGCATTGGTCTCTTCATGAATGAACTCACTGAACCGCCCTTCAAATTCCCAGACGTGTTGTGGCCCTGCTTTTCCACCGCGGACAAGAGGTCTGGTATGACATACGACGCGGAAGTTCCCTTTCAAGCGTCCGTATCAGGGGCATGAGTCGCTGCAAGACTTCATACTCATCTTCATTCAGGAAATGACTTAGATCCTCTAACCGAGCATATGCAAAGAATCGAAAGGGATGAGAACCCTGATCGTTCTCCATGGTGGGGTAGGCATATAAAGGGAATTGCAGTCAGTATAGATCTGTTGGGTGAGGTCATAGACGAGGTGTGATATGTATAGAGGTCAGAGGGGCAATAGGTGAGAAGGACAGGAAAGAGGAAGAGGAAAAAGGATAATGCAGGAGAGATGATGAAATGAGTGAATGGGATTTGGGAATGGTGGTTGCCGGAGAGTCTGATGACTGCCTCGACAGGAAGCGAGAAAATAAGGCCGCTTGAATTGCTCGGGTACACAGTGGGAAGAGAGGGGGGGGACGACGGAGTATGTACAATATGAGGCCATCGACAGACCTATGGAGAAAAGAACCCTGCGAATATGTAGCTAGGAGCTACTGATGCTGAGCTTAGGCGCATGGTGTATCGATCATTTTGTATCGAAAGGAAGACGTAGTCGGAATATATACCTAGGCACCTTTCATATTACCAGCAAAGACTTACCGGCAGGTGTTACATAGGCTCATAGCCTCCCCTGCACCCATATCACTACCAAGCCTGCTCAAAAACTGCGGCACCCCCCGGCATCAAAAAGCTTAGTTGCCAGACGTTGCCAGACACACTGGGCCCTGTGATCTGCAGCAAGAGCCACCAAAAAGGACATTGGACCGCACCTATGTAGGCAATCAACTTGTTTCCTTACCAAATAACTTTGAGCCTCTGTTTGTATACTCGGTTCTCACTACTCCCATTGATCTAGATATTTTGATGCCTTGTATCGGCCTCGTGCTGTACACTACCTACATCTAGATACCTGCATAGTAAGGTAATGGAAAGCTGTATATGTGTAGTCCTCATGAGGCACTATTCCTCGTCTTCTTATCGTCCAATGGGGTGATAGCTCAGTTGGGAGAGCGTACGACTGAAGTTACTCAGTCACTTAATCGTAAGGTCGCTGGTTCGATCCCGGCTCACCCCAACCTTTTTAGTTTTTTCTGTTATATACTTTTGCTTTGTTTCAATTTCACCATTTTTTCCCCTCCATCTCTTCTAATCACTGTTCTGTTCCACCAATACCCTGTTATTGACTTGATTATTTCTAGACGGTCAACGGTAAGCTTTAGAAACACATAAACTCCCACCAATCACTAATGATTGGGAACATGGCGAAAGCCCATCCTCAGATTAACTCATATAATATTAAACTGTCACAGCTTTCCATCAAAATGGGGTGATAGCTCAGTTGGGAGAGCGTACGACTGAAGTTACTCAGTCACCTAATCGTAAGGTCGCTGGTTCGATCCCGGCTCACCCCAAGTTCCTTTTTGCACTTCAATATTTCATTTTTCCTTTCATCTTCTAGGTTCCTCAGTTAGTTTTCTCAAGCTAAATCCATTAATTGGGGGGATAGCTCAGTTGGGAGAGCGTACGACTGAAGTTACTCAGTCACTTAATCGTAAGGTCGCTGGTTCGATCCCGGCTCACCCCACTTCTTTTTGCCCTTTTCCCCCCTTGCCTCTATCGTGTATAGACAGCAGATCGCTTGTCAAAGTTACCAAGATAAAGGGGCCGCCAGGAATATCTGCACTAGGTATCAACCCCCTAGTCGACATCGACAGGAGCAGACTTTCGCAGCGTTCAAGGTACTTCATTCTTCTCTATAGGTTGAATGATGCTCGTCGTCCTACCCGACGAGGAAGAGCTCGTAAGTACCTCTCTACATGTTCAGCAAAGTATTCGCTGGCGACCATACACAGTGAAGCGCCGACAGCTATCTGGCGACTGGGTAGGCGAACTAACTGAGGCTGGATCTTGACCAAGAAACCTACACAAACTCTTTGGGCGGCTCTTTAATGGAATCAAGGTAGACACAAGGGAAGCTGTGGAATATCTCTTATCCATGTGTGCTTTCAGATGCACAGATCAGACTTGGGTGCGTTTATATTCAGAAATCCGTCATGTATGGGCACCAGCCAGCCGACAAGTCCATTTAGCCGCCTCACCACGGTAAATTTAATATGTACAAACATCCAACATCTGGAGTCCAGAACGCAGACTTCAGCCTTGTGCCCCGTACCATTCTTCATACAGGCTGGTATTCTTGTGTCATGCCCAAGAGTCTATTTATACTTCATCCCTCGAAAGCCTGATGGGATAATAAACTGTCCTCAGATGGACCGGGCGGTTTGATTCGTTGCCAGGCCTCATACGAGGCCGGCAACCGTTGATATCCGTACAATTTTGACATGCAAAAATTAAATAGGGTTCTGCGCGCCGGTTCTTGTCTGCATTGACCAAGGCCTCCTGGCCACTCAATTGCAGAAAACAAGAGATCTACCGGTTGGTTCATGATGAAGGTGCTTGCTGGATCATGAACTTACGTTGATGAGTATGCATGAACGGGACCGGGCTTGGGAAAGCAGTCCTGATTCTCAGATAGCCAACATCGGGCTTGTTCGCTAGGCCAGGAGTGTATGTAGTAGGAGCACTTTAGGTTAGTCACGATTCAGGAACGACCAACGTTGAGCAATGAGCGATCATTCAACAGTGGAGTCAGATCCTGCATTTCAAGAGTCGAAGTGGATAAGAGATTTTCAGTATGGAGTCAAATTTAAATGGGACCCGCTGCAGCGTGTGGGCTCGCATCTCGGGGGCACAGTATGCCAAGGCGTTCAAGTGCAGTTTTTGGTACAAAACCTCTCCAACTGAAATAGTATACTAGAATGTAAAGTCGGGTTATGATCGATCGTGATGACAGGTAGATAGAAGGTTGAGAATATAGTTGTTCCCCTGTGCCCCCGTGCGCTTGTGGAGAGAAACATGAAAGGGTTAACATGGTGCACCACTAGCCCATCTCTGATAAGGTCTCCGAGGCTATCAGTTTTTATACATTCCTTCGGATTTTTAGCAAGTATTTCTGCATGATCCAGGGGCCGGACACCGCAGAAGAAAAAAAAAAAAAATCGAGAACGATGCCGAATGTGAATCTGAAGGAATTAACAATTTTTGATACCATATCTAGAGACTGTTTATATAGTTGTTAGCTTTCTACTACATTAAAGAGAGACCAGACATAGGCACTATTCTCACAGAACTTGTCTCGTTTTCCATATCTACTTGGACTTCGAAAGAAGTAAATAACGCTCGGGATCTAGGTTTACTGGAGGGATCGCAATGTACCATAGCTGCTGATATGACATACATAGGACTATCAGATTACCCGCGCACTACAAAGTACGGAGGTATGTGACTGTCTACTCGCCTGTAGCGTCATTAGCATGCATGCCAATTTGAATAATAGAATATGCACATAAGATCGTGCTCCAATCAAAAAAGTCATCAGCTCCTATTGTTAAGTCGATATTTTCTATCATCATCACCGCAATAAGATCAATTACCACGATCCATATTTTCCTCAATTTCTTCGGGAGACTAGAATGTCTCAATCTCCTCCACTTTGGGAACATCAATCACCAATCAATGACCTCAAACTGCAACTGGCTGCATCTTAGTGACCGCAATAACCTTGATAATTTACCCATACAAATTACAGGACAACACCCTTCTGTACGGAGTACGGATTACGATACCTTATTCATACATGGCGTGGGTCCAGATACCCAATCAAGGTTTGCTGCGGTTTTTTTTCCGTATCCATCCAGGAGGCTCCGTCTATTACCAAGCAGTTCATGACTCTGTTCAGCTGCTTGGTACTGCAGGCGCTGTCTGGGCCTAGCGAGCATGTACAAGTATCCATTCTGCAAACCATGTCCTGCAGTGAGTAGCTACTATCTAGGTAAGGTGGCTATCCAAGTAGTGATTCAACGACACAGAGCGTCGCTGCATCGACGGTGTAGATACTACTATCCAACTACGCGATCAATTCACCGCTGTCTACTGCTGATCCGTCAAATCGATCGTCATCGCAAACAATACCTGAGTCAATATGACGGTAGTAATCAGTCCATCTGAGCCCTTTTGTCGACACATTCTGAACGTGAAGTAAGCCGAAGGGGAAAGATTTAATGACAGAATGGAGATAGATTTAAAACCTACGATGTCTATGAGTGTAATGGATTGATTATATTACTGTTACCTAGAGTATGGAACTTCGTAGTGCCGGTGGTAGTTGGTAGTGAGGTACTAGTTCCCCTTAATTGCTTGGTAAGTAACCATTATTGCTGTTGTTACCGGGGGGTGTCATCTCCAGTCAACTTGTTTCCCCTACATTAACGTTATTATTTCCCTCCTTCCTTTAATCGACTTTTCCTTCGGGTTTTGTGGCCCTTCTCCTCTGTAATAATAAATCCTTTCTCATCATAACCATACATAATTCTTGCTCTCTTTAATACTCTCTTCTTCGGCACGTATACCCCTGCCTCGTTCAAAGCTCGAACCACCACTGCCCCGGGTCGAAACTTTCTTCTTCACTCGGTCGCTTCCGCCGTAACTCTCGCTCCACACCCAATCAACCCCCTCCTCCCGCAGCTCCCTCTCCCTCAACTCTTCCTCTGTCCGTTCCCTTCCTACCGCCGTCTTCCCGCCTCCTCTCCCGGTCATCCCAATCCGATCCCCTGGGATTTACAGCGCCGCCTCCTTCGACACCGTTTCACATCACACGCCTGCCTATTTCCTCAATTACCAAACCTCCCATCCCAGGGACCTCCTTTCCGGTCGAAATGGCAGCCGATATGAGCGGCGAGCAGATGCAGGCCAAGATTACCGCGGCCAGGCGCGAAGCTGAAGGCCTTAAGGACAAAATCAAGCGCAGAAAAGATGAGCTGGCAGATACAACCCGTACGAACCCGTCAAACCATTACCTTTTGCAAAGTTTCAATTCCTGGAATTGCAGCAGCTTGTTTACTGTCATTGCTTTTGCGAATGTCTCCTGTTCCATTTCGGCTACTGACCCCCCTAAACAGTTCGTCAGGTTGCGCAGAACCAGACCGACACCTTACCTCGCATCGGAATGAAGCCTCGACGGACGCTCAAAGGCCACCTGGCCAAGATCTACGCCATGCACTGGTCAACTGACCGTCGTCATTTAGTGTCCGCCTCGCAGGACGGTAAATTGATTATCTGGGATGCCTACACCACCAACAAAGTCCATGCCATTCCTTTGAGATCATCGTGGGTGATGACCTGCGCTTATGCTCCAAGTGGTAACTACGTGGCGTGTGGAGGTCTCGACAACATCTGCTCTATCTACAACCTCTCCTCCCGCGAAGGCCCGACCCGTGTCGCGCGGGAACTGTCGGGGCACTCGGGCTACCTCTCGTGCTGCCGTTTCATTAACGACCGTCGCATTATCACCTCCTCTGGTGACATGACATGCATGCTGTGGGATATTGAGTCAGGATCCAAGGTAACTGAGTTCGCGGATCACCTGGGAGATGTCATGTCGATCAGCATCAACCCCACGAACCAGAATATCTTTGTTTCCGGTGCCTGCGACGCTTTCGCCAAGCTCTGGGATATCCGTACCGGAAAGGCCGTTCAGACTTTTGCCGGACACGAATCAGATATCAACGCCATTCAATTCTTCCCCGACGGAAACGCTTTTGGAACAGGTTCTGATGACACCTCCTGCCGTCTCTTCGACATCCGTGCGGATCGGGAGTTGAACATCTACCAGGTAAACTTGTGTTCTTGTTCATGATTTCTGCTGCGTTCATAGCTAATGAAACTCGCTTGCTGTAGAGCGATCAAATTCTCTGTGGCATCACGTCTGTTGCTTTCTCGGTCTCTGGACGATTGCTCTTCGCCGGTTATGATGACTTCGAGTGCAAGGTATGTGCACGGTACAATGATTCATTGCAACAGGGACGTAAGCTGACGTTCGCAGGTCTGGGATGTTCTTCGAGGTGACAAGGTCGGTTCTTTGAGCGGCCACGAAAACCGTGTCAGCTGCCTTGGAGTCAGCAATGACGGCATCAGTTTGTGCACTGGCTCCTGGGATTCTCTTGTAAGTGCCTTGAAAGCGTTAAAAACTCCCATTGTTATTTCGTTTTGTTGTTTTTCTTGTCTCATTTCACAATTACTGATATTTCTATTCGTGGTACAGCTCAAGGTTTGGGCCTGGTAAAAGAACAGAATCATCGAGCAAAGATACCCCGTCTCAGTCATTTGCGATTCCATCATTCGGCTTCTTTTCTATTCATTTTCTGCAACAATAGGTTGGATGTCCGCCGTTGTACGATACATTTTCATATTTTTTTTTACTTTTCCTTTCCAAGAGCAATGTCCGCTTTTAATCTTCCATCCGGAACTACAAAAGACGTTTGCGGGGAGCCGGACGATCGAATCACTTGGACCTAGATCAAGGTGATTGGGTACTTGATCGAGATTTGGAATACTTCAGATGTTGGTCGTCGGGCCAAATTAATGAATCCGGAAATCTAGGTGACAACGTTCGATGGCTGATGTTGTGAGCGCGCTCATATTGTGTCTTTGCTTTTCTTTTCTATTTTGATGATGACATTGATCTACGAGCCCCCTAGGATGGCTGGTTGAGGAGTGTTCCCATAGCCTATACTCACCATCCATTCAAGCACTCCTTCTGCAGTGAACAGTGGGTGAGACCGGCAGACACGTCCGCGTCCTCGAGCACTTCTTCGTTCTTCTCTTTCCCCCCTTTTCCCTTTGGAAGGATTCTCGCTTGCAAGCCCTATCCTATACCTTTGCTCTTTCGTCTGGCATATCCTATTCCCGTCTTTACATGGTCGCTTTTCTTTTGGTCTTACGGGACTCTTCATTATTTCTGATTTCTATTTCTTTTACCTATTCATTTTTGATCAGCCCCTCTTGCGCATTGACTTTCTGCATGTATTCATCTTGCGGCTGATAGGACGGGAGGGAATGTTTTCGAACAGGGCCATGACGTTTTCCTTTGTCTGACTTGTGGCGAATGTTCTCTTAGTTAACTAATTAATCTGACATTACAAAATTCTATTGTTGACTCCACAATTTTCTCGTTTCTTGCGCTACGGCTGCCGACATCACACAGCTATCGGCCTCCTGTCAGCGGGGCTTGGCTGATACGATATGGGCGGTGAGGGTTGCGATTGACATACTGCTGTACCTGAAAGCACTCGTAGGTCTGCTTCAGTTTGGGCTTGTTTCGCATGAGTCTGACAATCTCTTGATACAAGGCATACCGGAAGTATCTACATGCCATGTAACGGGTCGGGATAGGTGAGATTGACGTCCGGCCTTGGGTTCGAGTCTTACCAGAAACCATGGCGCCATTAAGACGCAGGAGCTTAGCAGCGGACCGAGGTATCATCCTTCCACTAGAAGACATGAGGTTGTGAGGCGTCCCTACGAATGAAACCCAATCGGCTGATGGGCTGCGTGCATCTGCCGGTTCGTGACAATCAGGTAGCAAGAAGCTACAAGGTGTAGATGTCAAAACGGAAAATGGTTCCACGCATTTGTTGTCTCTTTCCCATCCCGCAAGGAGTGCTCCAGTGGAGAACCCATGCGTATAGCGGACCACGTTGGAGCGCTAGGCTGCTGTAAGTACCTTAAGGCATCATGAGATCCTACCTGCACTGATAAACTCAAACAGGCATGGACATGTCCTTGGCAGCCAGCAGCAAATCGAGGCTAGTACGGAGTACTTGGGTGGTGACAAGCGCAGCAACCGCGCCATAACTGAGGGATCTAGATATGAGTTGCGATTTGAGATTTCATCGGGCTGTTCGGAAGCATGGCGATGGATCTGCATCTGGAACATCTATCCACGTGGCTGTGATGCCCCTGACGATGGTCTTAACAATGTGTAGCGCCAATGAAACAGCGAACAGCAGTCAGGGGACTGATCCTTTGTACCTCCGTAATGGATAACCTTCATAAGCTTTTGAACTTCACTTTACTCCTTTTTCGATATCAGGTGATATAGGAGGGGAGTGGGACATTTCCAGCCATGAGCAGAGGGAATGTTCTTCGCTGCTTCTAGTGGTGTGTGGCATTAATATTAACCATTCATTGACTGGACTAGTCGATTGATAATTGATACATCGAGAACCCAGATGTCAAAGAGTCAAAAGGATGTGACCTGCCAAAAGTGGCTGAGATGGGATCTTCATCACCTGAAACACAGGGGCCTGTGGAACACCAACTGTGATTGGCTCCTATTCTTGTTTTGCTTAGGACCTGCTGCAGAGAAACCTAAGGCACGCTAGTTTTCCCCGCTAATCCCCCAAGCGACAGGAATCGTCAACTGTTTCATCTGCCACTAACTCTCGCATCTAGCCTAGATTTCTCCTATCTACAGAGTTCTCTATCTAGACCCTGCAAATTCGGATCCTTTTGGATCTTTTGCTACAAGTCCACACTCGAACAAGTCCGATCTCCTGGTTCAACGCTCAATTGCGGAATTGATCAGCGTGGGTGGTCTGGAGTACTCCGTTCCTCTCGCTCTTGTCACTGGAGCATCTCCAATAGCGGCCATAACTCCGACTGCGGTTCAGGGGGAGAAAAGAAACATCCGAGAGATTCTGAAACCAACCGCAGTCATCCGTCTCGTCATCACCTTCTGCCTTTCTTGGGCCGTAGGGCTACCCTGTACTGCTTATTGTTCTCGTCAATTGCTTTTTTTTCTTCTCGAATTAGAGTTCTAGAACGGAACTCGAGTACCCTAGCCAGAAGGCAAAAATCAGAAAAGGGAAAAAGGAAGCGGCAAAAAGATAGGGAAAAAAGTGTAATCGTGATCGACTTTCCCTGTCTGCGAGCTGAATTCGGGACACGAATATCAACGTCTACCCTTTAAAATTGGGCATTGACCCCACCCTCCTGCTTCCTTCCTTTTCGTCATGTCTGCTCAAGACGAGTTCAACAGCCTTGTTGCCAACAACCAGGAGAAGTTATCCACTCATCCTGAGGATCGAGATAACTCTGATCGCGACTCCGAGCCTGCCTCTGACAACGACACCAACCACGACGACCACGCACACTTCTCAGACTCGGAAGACTTTGACGGTACCGCCATGGGTTCACGGACAACCACATATCAGGTCCCCAGGACCAAGTTCGACGCCAACACTGGGCCCAAGGGCGTCATTGCTGATGCCCAGGCCTTCGAACGTGCACGCAAGCGCTCCTTCCGCAGAACCCTACTCGGTGCCGCGGGAATGGACTATACGCATCATCGTTCCAACTCCAAGTCGATCACTGATGATGTCAATCTTCTGCAGAACTCGCCGCCGGATGGCTCTGCCAGCGAAGACGAGGAGCAGTTCATGCGCAAGTGGCGCGAGTCGCGCATGCAGGAGCTGCAGAACCGGAACCTACGACGTACCAGTCCCCGGAGGAAGATGTACGGGTCCGTCGAGACGGTGGATGCGGGGGGTTATCTGGATGCTATTGAAAAGGTCTCCTCGGATACGGTCGTGGTGGTGTGTGTGTATGACCCTGAGGTGAGTATATATTGGTTTATGCCCCTTGCAATGGAGGCTCGAGGAACACACTACTAACAATGACCACAGTCCAACGTCAGCTCCCTCGTGGAAGACTGCCTGGATACCATTGCGCGCAGGCAACCAACCGTCCGCTTCATCAAGCTGGACCATGAGATCGCCGAAATGGACCACATTGACGCCCCGGCTCTGCTGGCTTACAGAGCAGGTGACGTCTTTGCTACTATCGTTGAGATTATGAAGCAGATTCCCAAGGGCCGGAGCTGCAGTGCAGACAGTCTGGAAGATCTACTCAAGTTGTATGTTTATTGTCAAGCGTCTGCTTTTCTTTCCATCGCCTGCTAACTCTATACACAGATACCGGATTCTGTAGACCTTTTTTGAAAGTCATCTCTTCCCCGATTCTCTTTATGTTATGCAAATATCATTGCTCCACTAGAATGAGCACAGCGGGCGCATCGGGCTTCTTGTCGTTTTCATTTTCTCTACAGGATCTTGTTTTGACGTCTATTATCATTTGATTCCTTCTTGACGAGGCATTACTTTCACTCATGGGCGGGTATTTGGTGATTTACTTTCTGGGTTCTCAACGCATCTAGTATCGTGCTGTTTCATTTGTCTCCGGCCTCGTCTGCATGAAACTCTGAGATATCCAAATCGTTTCGGTCTTCAGTTTCCTTTGTTTATCTGGGCATATGGCGTTCATCTTTCGATAGACTGATTTTCCTGAAGATATTATCATCTCAATTGATTAGAATTGGGCTTTTCCCTTGATCATGTCTCTTGTTGTTTCATTAGTCACTAGGATCATTGCTCTCGCCAGCTCCCTACTTCTTGGAAATCTCCCCTGTATGAAGGCCACTCAAACCCAACGAACCTTCATCGAATTGGAGATACAAATCAGGGTAAGTGGGTGGGAAAATAACATGACCTGGAAGAAATAAGAAGTTAAGAAGATAAAAACACAATTGGAATACGGGTTCAGAAAAAGAAAAGAAGAAAAAGAAAAAGTTACAAGAAGAAAGCGACTACAGAGCCCCCTTCTCTTGTGTAAAGTCCCACAGCATCTTGATCAGGTTGTCCGGAAGGGTATAAAGGTCGACGTGGAATTCGCCCTCTGCAAGCCAGCGATACCGGTTAGCAATTGTTTCCCGAACATAACTTCATTCTGAAAAAATATATAAATGGCAAGACGTACGCTCGACATCGTTCTTGGTATATGAGTCTGGCGCTTTGTGGTCGTGTACCATCTGCACGACCTGGAGGAGGTCGTCTTCTCCAAGCCTTTGGAGGCCATCGGCCAATTTGTCCATGTCGACCTGGTGCGGGAGGAGGTTAGGTTAGTTGACGTGTTATCTTCGCCTGAGAGGATCCTCCTCGGTTGGGAGAAGAGAAACCAGACTCACATTCTTCTCCGTCCGCTTCTTCTTTTTCGATCCCTCCTCGCCTCCTGCGGCACGTTTCGATTTTACTCCGTTCTCGTCACCGGGCACTGGTCCCGACTCGCGCAGTAAAGCCAACAGCGCTGGCTTGGGGTTCTTGAATGTCTGCAAAGATAAGAGGCATGAGTACAAGTGCCACTCAGTGAAATAGGTCGCGCGAGAACACAAGGGCTAGTGCTCACAATGACATGTTTGGACTCGTAGCGCGGCTGTGCGAAATTCAGGTCGTGCGTGAGGAAGTGTTCCTTATCGGCGGCAGTGAGGCCAATCTGCAGGTCGAATTCACCCCATCCTTCCTCCGAGATTCTGAATGGAGGGTTCTTGAAAGCTGTTTGTTTGACGCGCTGCGTGTCAGCCTCGATTCATCGATCGTCTCTTTGCCCTCATGACGTGACAAGAATTTGATAGCATGGCGGTAAAGGAAGCGACGTACTCTGAACAGCGCGGTCCCCGAAACTGGGATGCAACGTGTATGTCACCTTGTCGAAGACGTTCGCCGGCACCTGTTCGCCGTGTTCATTGACGAGGTAGATCTCAATCGACCACGACCGCAGTGGGAATCCTTCAACGCCGGAGTCCTTGTTTCTAGAGTAAGCAAGAGCAAGCGTCAGCATCACCACCAAACACACAAGGTAAAACCACCAGCTCTATGCATCAAGTCCCGTAGAAACGGAAGCGCGTAGCAACGGCCCGACCACACGCGTGCGCATGTATTCAGACAAAGTGTATAGAAAGACATGGAGAGAGGCATCGCTCTTGCGCGGCTCGGACGGTAGAGTATGAGGGAAGGTGACGTACACGACATGCTGCTCTGTCACCAGCCGAACTGTTCTCTTAACCTACGCGGCAGGGAAAAAAAAAATATCGGCGTCAGCATCATGCGATAGTAGCAAGGTGATCGGTACCTGCGTTAAGCATTGGAAGGTATAACGCAGGAACTCCATTGATCGGGTGAATCAGACGGACTCACATCGGGCATTTTGCCAGCGGGCCTCTGTTAGGCTGACCGTAGATCGGAGGTATCAGGAAGGAAGGAAGAGCGGTCTTTTGTATGGTGTCTTTACTGCAGAGTACTGCAATGGGAGACAAAGAGCTATCGGGCTCAAGGGTCGCGCGAATCAAGGTGAAGCGAGGTTGGATGTTTAGCGCCAAGCCTGCGGAGAAATCAGAAATTCGGACTGAAATGCAAGTGTCCAATGTCGACCAGCTGTAGTGAGCTCCAAGTAAGCTCTACTTTTAGAAACCTCAGGTAAGAATGAATGGAGGAGACAGAAACGTGAGAGGAAAGTAAAGGCGTTTTATGGAAACCTTCGTCGACGCTGTCAAGTGGGGGAAAGTAGGCAAAGAGCAGCGGGCAGTGTGACCCGCCACCAGAGAGCTGAATACACCCAAGGTCGCTTTCATTCAAATCTCCAGAATGAATCGGAACTCAACTGGCTGTACCACAAAGACTACGAGAAGATACATGTCTTTCATCATACGACTAAGTCATAGCGATACTGAATTACAAGAACCTCCGCCTACATCCAATGCCTGCAATTGAGGATGCGCAAACGAAAGCAATCATTGCAAGAAAAAGGTTCACAGAGCAGATCTAATAACTAGAACAATTCGTACATAAACGTGGTGTGTATTCATGCGTATATTCGAAGGGATAGTATGTCTATCTACCAACAAATTGGTTCGAACGTCTTAAGGCACGCGATATCACCTGCCAGACGACGAGGGCGCGTTGAATCTGATGCTCGGTCGACTTAGTCTCATTGTCACCAGCTTACAGAATCATTCGCGCACTCATGTGAAAACATCGGGGGGGGGGGGGGGGGCGCGGAGGAGGGGGAGTGACAAGAGGATGCTGTGGCGGGGAATAATGGGATTGATGGGATGACGATGAATCCAGGGACAGGCCATAAGTCAAAACTTGTCGAAATAGGATCGAAATTCAATGGTTACAAAAGACACCGCAATCTCCAGGAGCGTGGAGCTGCAGACTTCTTACTGCTGGCCGATAAGCTTCTCGTTCTCCTGCTGGGCCTTCTCGAAGGCTTCCTTGAAGAGATTGGCATCTGTAATGTCTGGTTAGCAAACATTGAATAGATACCAAGCTTATCATCATCCAGGACTTACTCTCGCTGTTGGCGAAACGAATGGCCAGGGTCTGGGCCTCAGGTTCACCCTCACTGACGTCCGCAGTTACGCTCCAAACCCAGCTGCGGTCACTGCCAACATTGGGCTTGAGCTTCATGTCGGGGACAACTGCAGAGCCATTAGCCTCAACACAATCAACTCACTGGGTAGTAAATAGAGACTAACCGTAGTGGTTAGCGCAGACCTTGAGGGTCTTGTCTCGGCGCATCACTAGCCGGGTCTTCTGGTTCTCCTTGTGCTTCAGAAGTCTAACATCACCGGTACCACGCTCCTTCCATTCCTTGCTGTCAGCGTCGAATCGGAACAGCTTGGCACGCATCTTGAAAACCTGCTCCTCGAGCTCTTCGTTGGTCTTGGTCTCGACCTTCTCCGTCAGGCGAATAACGGGCTCGAAATGGACATCAGGGGACTCGGGCGCCTCATCCTAGGTTTATCGAAAACTGTCAGTTCATAGCTTCTAGAGCACGTATCACAGTTCATCTCGCTCTAGGGAACCAAGCTTTCCAAAAATGCTGTCCATCACACGCTGTAAAAAAGGAAAGAAATTGAAGGACACGACCGGAGGAACGGCCACCGCATCAAGACAACCAGCAACAAGCATCATAGCAAGACAAACACCAGTGTAAAAAAGCAAACTCACCTCTTCTTCACCCTGCTGAGCCTTAGAAGAACCAGAAGGTTCATCCTTAGCATCCTCAGCCTCCTCCTTCTTCTCCTTCTTGGGACCACCACCGAACATGGAGAAAACACTGTCAGATGTCTTGGTGGCAGCATCCTTGACAGTGTCAACCGCAGCCTCGGTCACGGACTTTTCTTCCGCAGGCTTGGACTCTTCAGTGTTGGCGGCGGGGGTCGTCTCCTCAGGCTTCTGAGCCTCAGGAGCGTTGGTGGCGGGGTCAGGCTTGGTTTCAGCGACGTCAGACATGGTGGAAGGATCTGGGTTTCTAGAAGTTTTGTAAGTTGGAGTTTGCAGTTTTGAAGCGAAGGTCAATTTACCTATTACTCGGATAAGAGAAAGGTTTATTTGTGGTGGAAGGCAGTGAAAGGAAGAGGCAAAATATGTTTTGATTCAGGGCCTGCAAAAGGTGGGGAGTTCGTCCCGCTCACAAAATAATCATGCCCGGCCCCCCAGGAGTGTAGCCTAAGGCTACAATTACTCCACTAGTGCCACCGCTCAAGGCCATTCCCTACAGAGTGCAAAGCACAGATGATCTATGACAGTCCTAGAATTCCCAGTCTGATTTGATGCGTGAAAAGCGTAAAGTAGCAATTGTTCCAGTAATTGTCATCAGATAAGCCATAGTCTCATAAACCCTGTTAACCCGTGCTTATGAATATCCGTCCGTCCCTATCGCCTGAAAGATTTCCCAAAACAAAGATAGCAGGACAATCGAAAGAAAGAATAAAAAGCAATGAACTATAGACGCCAGGTTTCGCCGACAGCAGTATTTATGACGAATCTTCCAGGTGTGGGGAAGCTTTTCGCCTCATCAGACCCTTTACCCTTCTCTGAGCCCTATCCAAAGCGTCGCATTTCCTAGCGTCTCGCATTTGGCGCTTGAGGGCCTCAAGGTCGAGACTTCGGGCAGAGGTGCTGACTTTGTTCCATGTGTTGCCCATGAACCCTCTGGCCTCTCTGCTAAATCTGACCCTGTGACTCTGTATCACAGATGAGGCGGCCAGAAATGGTTGCACAGCAGTGCGCTTCACGACCTCTGAAAGTTGCTTTGACGTAGACATAACTGCCTCTCTCGTCTCCAGAGACAATTGCGCAGAGCCTTGC